AAACAAACAGACGAATAAATGCACGTATCGCAGAACACAAGAATGCCGTCAAAAAAGAAGAAAAAACTTCCTCTCTTTTCCAACACATGAAAGAAACAGGACACGAAATTAATTTTGCAGATTCCAAATTGCTCTCTAACATGGAACATCACCACAAGAGAATAATCATGGAAGCCATCGAGATAGAGAAACACCCTCACAACATGAACAAGCGTGACGACACATCCCGCCTGCCAGACATCTGGAAATTAGCCCTCCCCACAAAAACCGACACCAGATCCAGAGGCACACAGAACGCCATCACCAATCAACCACACCAGACCCAAACCCAGACCCTCTCCACAGATAAATTACAGACACCATCCAGTAGCCAAACCATGGTGGCACCTCCGGATGCTGCACCCCCCTGCAATCCCTACACAGATCTGGCTGGCACAGGACACAAAACCACAGCTCGCCCCTATACACGAAGCCAAGCCAGAGCACAACTAATTGCAGTACAGCCATCTTCTCAGAAAAACTCTTCACAAAGTTCAAGAGGTCAAGACACGAAGGCTTTAGCAACTAATCCACACCTAATGACCCACCTAAGTGGTACTCAGGATATCACTCAAGAAATCACTCAAGATATCCCTCAAGTAATTAAGGAACAAAAGAAGAAAAGGCACACTAACCTGGGAACTTCCTCTCTGCCCAGAACATTGGAGGCTATACACCACACCCCCTCAACAGTATTTATAGGAACTCAAACACTGAGATCCTGCTCTGTTCCAGTAACAAGAAGCCGAAAGCACCAGCCTGAAGATGACGAGTGAGACCTCGTCGAAACGTCGCCTAGACACCCCAACTTTTACACGGGAAGACACCCGAGGACACCAAAACCTGCATTCCTGTACCCGTGAAATCTACGAAAGCAATATATATATATATATATATATATATATATATATATATATATATATGTGTGCACGGAGTAACATTCAGTCATGTGAATCCCCAACTGCAATGGTATGAACCCCCAACTGCATTCAGAAGTGGTACAACCCCAGCAACAGGTTTCAGTGAGAACTAGGCCAAAGAAGAGACAGGACCTTGAATTTCACCTAATGTGAAAGTCATATGGAAACCCAAACCCAGCTTTGCAACCTTTTGAGCAATGATAGCTGCATCTGAAAATATTGCTGTGTGTAGGCTGTTTGTTAGTAGCCTGTCCCACTGTTTTGTGGCTTTTACCTCTTGCTTCTAATTACTGTATTTGTATGTTGTCCCTAATGGCGTCAAAGCTGTTTACAAAGGAAGTCAAATGCAATCAAATACAGTATATAAGAGAACTAAAGTAATGAATGCAGTATGCAAAACATCAGAATCCATAAAATAAGATTCCGCTTGCTACCAGTATTTCTGTTCCCTGAATATCCACATGCCCATACCTCCGTTAAACTATGTTTGCACACATTCACCCATAATCAAGCAAGAACACATGCTCCCTCACTCTCAACAATTATTGAACTCAACAGTCACCTAGTTACATATACAAAAGTCTGCACGACACTGGCAGACTAACGCTATGAGGCTAAAACCAAATATAATCCCAAATAAAAACCTCACACTGTTCATCCAAACACTCATTCCCATTCCCTTCAGATGTTTCAGGCTGCAATTCCTATCAGCCCCAGCAATCAAGGAGGATGGAAATTGTAGTGCAACAACACCTCAAGGTCACTAGGCTACTCTTGCCACTGGTTTATTGTTTGTGGCTGAGAAAGCAAGCTGTCCCTGAGTCCTCAGCCACCAGCTCCTAGCTCCCACATGAGAAGTGGTCAGACTCCAACCCCTAACTGCCAGCAGCCCCACACTGTCACCTTGGACAGCACCACACATCCCTACCAAAGCACAATCATAAGGAGCAGAGTGGGGCGCCTCACCTTCATAGAACCTCAAAACCATGACAGCTCTTTTCAGCTTTCTGGGCAGAACTGGAAAGTCCATTTGCCCTCTCCATTGGTTCTTGCTGACCAGTGATGCTGATATTTGGACCCATGCTTTATACAGCAGGGGGCAGCAGCTTGTGGACTGCTTGTAAGCTTCCTGAAGGGTCTGGCTGACCAGTGTTAGAAACAGGGTGCTGGGTCAGATGGACCTCTGGTCCAAACCAGCAAAGATATTATATTACAAGGTCAGTTATTAATATTGTATGTGACTATTTTGGTGGTGCTCCGTAACTGTCCATTCCTCTCTACTTTCACTATTGGCTGTTTCCTATATTAGCATGGGAGTTTTCTTTGGAAACTGGGGTGTGCTGCTTCAGTGCATCTGTTCCCTGCAAAACACAGGGCTTTTGGATGATTGCTCACAGGGTCAAATGAGGGCCATGAATCAGGCGAGGGCCATGGCTTTATCTAGACCTGAATTAAATGCTTCTTTGAAGTGCAGCATGCTGAAAACAGTGCTCTGTTAGGTAGGACACCAAGCTTGGAAAATCCAGAAGTCTTATCCTGCCTGCAAGTCATAAGAGACAATGTTACACACCTCTTGAAGATGCTCTGAAGCTTGAACATACCCCAGGAGTAGCCAACGTGGTACCCTCCAGATGTTGTTGGACTACAACTCCCATTATTCCTGAACACTGATGGGAGGTGTAATCCAAAACACCTGGAGGGCACCAGATTGGCTGCCCCTGGCACACATCATCTGAGTCACTCACTAGGCTAGGTCATTAGACATTGTGTATCAGTTACTATCACATTAGTGGAGTGCTGACTTTCCTAGAGCAAAATCCAGAGAGTGTCCTCATCAGAGACACAATCTAGCATAAAGGAAAGACTGAACCAGCTCTCAGAATAATAATGCTGGAAAGGATCTCAAACATCCAACCAGCTGCTGGTGCACAAAATGTACTGCTACATCCTTGATGTTCTTGGAGAAAATGCCTGGTGAAGGCACACCTTAACATTTAGAGTTAGATGCATATTGAATCAGCCGTCTGGACAGATGTGGAACGGCATTGTTGTTCAACTCATGTATTCTGATATATCTTCTCAGAAATATGACTACAAAAAGTATATCATTTTGGAATGGCAGTGTTTTTAGCATGTGGCTGTCAGTGAGGAGCTCAGATCAATAACAATATTCATAATGCCCATTGTTACTGGAGCTACAGGTAACTCACAACTTATGTGCATTTAACTTTTGTGCATTCAGCTTTATGTGCTTGGGCAGGGGGTTAAAAAGGGGGCAGGCAGGCAGGAAGGAAGGAAAAAAGACTTCGGCAATCCCACCCGCCATTGCACCCAATGTATTTTGACTATACACAATTGTGGCTTTATGTGTTGTCCCAGGAATGCAACCTCCACGTAAATTGAGAGTCACCTGTACTGTCTGCACCTCCATAAAAAGCTTAATTTGCAAATACGTTGTTGAGGTATCACAAACAAGTTGTTGGCAACAAGTTGAGCCCTTTTATCAGATTCTCCCTGTGAGGAAAAGAGGGGTTGTGTATACTGCCCTGAATTCCTTGGAAGATGTGTGTGATGAAAGTCTAAAAGAAGGGAATGGAATGATTAGAATAAAACAACAACAACAGAATAGTGTCCTTAAGGAGGCATCCTATCCCTACCATTATGCCAGCTGAGAGGCCCTGGGAAGCAGTGGAGGTGCTACCTTTCTATGAACAGAATAACTTATAAACAACCAGAAGTCCCCCAGAACCACCACCACTGTGACCCTTAGGAATGCTCTGCCCAATGGGTTTTAGGGTGGTCACTTTTTGTAGAATTATTGTGCAGCACATTTGTGAATTTGAAAATACATTTTTGTCCCCAGTTAGCCCATTGACTATGAGTACTGTATAAAATGTGGTAGTGAGATTATTTTTTTTTAAAGAAAGCAACAGTATGACTTTATTGCCCTCTCTAGCACTGACCCACAATTTTGCAGATGTTTAGCTTCTTTATAAAAGGGTGTGTGTGTGTGGCTCTCTTCCCATCCCCAGAATGCACAAAACTTGCCTTTCTTTTTTTTACATGGAAACAGAGTATCATATTGGTTTGGCAGTAGTGTAAATAGAGCTCTGAAAGAAAATAAAACCAGGGTTGTTGTTTTTCCTATTGCCTAAAAAGTTTGCAAAAACTCCACTGGGGTTCAGTACACAATTAGGGCCAAATCACTGGGTCATTTTTTTAATAGTGAAGCCACCCAAAGTTGTCCCTTTGGGCATGGCGACTGGTCTTCTGAATTTGCCAATACTGAGAGTGTAGCACCCGTCACACAGCGTATGTGTAAAAAGATTTGTTAACAGGAAGCGAGGCCATCCCGTGGCATCACACGAGGGGCTGACCCTCGAGCATGGTGTCTCTTAGAGGAGTCGTTAAAAGCCCACATCTGCAAAGGGCGCCCTGATTGTGCAGTCTGCCTATACATGTCTGCCTATACTTATCTAGGCATGTACCCCACTGCAGGTGCTTAACACGGAGAGCCAATGACATGCACAGTATCGGGACAAGGGTCAAAAGTGTGGCCCCTGCTTCCTGTTAATTTCAGACTCACCACACTCTAAAAAGCAATCCAAAAGAAGATTGAGCCAGGAAGAGGCATCATGACCTTGATGCGTTTGGGAGCATTGTAAATGCCCCCCACCCCTATATTGTGGAGGCTGCACTTCTGCACAAGTGCCATCTTTTTAAAAAATGGTCACATGAATTGGCCTTGGGGTGGGGTACAGATTTTATATGCTGTTATTATTATTTATTATTATTGCATTTTTAGACCAACTTTATTTCAAGGCACAAAAGTGGGCATATGTGGTTGTCCCCCTTCCCATCACAACTGCTCTGTGAGTTGAGAAATAAGGAGTGGCCCATAGTCAGCCAGTAAGCTTCATGGCCGAGTGGAGATCTGAACTCTGGTCTCCCAAGTCCATATCTACCAGGGCTCTTCAGCTTATCCTTGACGTACATAGAGGACATGCTAATGGTTTCTTCTCTCTTGCCCTTTGTCCACAGGTCTGAGTAATATAATTGGCATCATTGTGTACATATCAGCCAATGCTGGAGACCCCTCGAAAAGCGACTCAAAGAAGAATAGTTACTCTTATGGTTGGTCCTTCTACTTCGGGGCCCTGTCATTCATTATAGCCGAGATGGTAGGAGTGCTGGCCGTACACATGTTTATTGACCGGCACAAACAGCTGCGTGCCAGTGCTCATGCCACAGACTACCTCCAGTCCTCTGCCATCACCCGCATACCCAGTTACCGCTACCGCTATCAGAGACGCAGTCGCTCCAGTTCCCGTTCCACCGAGCCTTCACACTCCAGGGATGCCTCTCCCGTCGGGATCAAAGGGTTCAACACCCTCCCATCAACGGAGATCTCGATGTATACCCTAACCAGGGACCCCCTGAAGGCTGCCACTACCCCCACCGCCACCTACAATTCAGACAGGGATAACAGCTTCCTCCAGGTTCACAATTGTATCCAGAAAGAAAACAAGGACTCTATCCACACTAACACAGCCAACCGCCGGACCACCCCCGTATGAAGCCGTCGAGAGGGGCTGAAACATGGGGGGGGGCTGGGAAGGTGGGAGTGGGACTTGGGTTCAGGATGGGAGGGAGCAGTAGGGGTGGGCAGGGGGAGAGGAGAAAGCAACCATGGGGAAACCTTCCAAAAGCAAAAAAATATAAAAAAATCCAGAAAAAACCAGAAAACAAACTTAAGTGAAACACCTGAAAAGAAATGACAAAACGTTTTAAAAAAAGGGAAAAAAAGAAAAAAAAACTTCAAAAAAATCAAGAGAAAGAAATTTAAAAATATAAAAAATAGAAAATAAATTTAAAAGAAAATGCATGATTTCCCATGTACCATTATTTTAACATTTAATAAAAACAGATTTAAAAAAAGGAACCGAGAAATAACAACAAAAAAATTAATTAAAAAACCAAGCGGGAAGAGGAGGCAGCTCTTTGGATTTCTGGGGGGTTTTACTCTTTACTTTTTCAGTTTGTTTTCTTTTCACTTTTAACCCACTGTGGACTTGCAAGTTCTTAAAGATCTCCAGGGACAGGTGGTAACAAAACGCAGTGCTTTCAGTGTCCTTGTGGATGCCTTTATTGCACATGCACTGGAGCCTGCCTAAGCTTACCAAACCCCCTGGAGTGACGAGTGATTCGACATGTTCCTGTGGGTCCACAGGGCTTAACAGTGACCTTCCTGTCCTTGGGGATTCGAGGGTTTAATGCTGATTCACTGATCTCCAGGTCTCAGGAAGCTAAGGCTGATCAGCTCAGCCTCATCAGCCTGTGACTATCCTGGGGGTTAACAGTGACATTGCAAAAACAAAAAAAAAGCTTCATAAAAAAGTGGCAATTTTTTAATAAAACAGAACCAACTATAAATAAATGTAAATATAATAAGTGGATTTACTTGCAAGAAAGCCAGATAGTATTTTTCTTTTCATTTTTCTTTTCCAGCTTGAAAACTGTGAAAACTAAAATCTTAGGGGTTGAGAGGCTTCTAAAGAGAAAATGGAAACTGAATCCATTTGAAAACAACAAAAACTTTTTAAAAGACACCCAGAACTTGGCCACTTGGTTGGTGTGGGTTGAAGTCCCTCACGGGCCATGAGAATGTTGGGCCAGGAAAAAGCGGGGGGGGGGCATCTCTCCCCACAGAGAAAAGGCTGCTGCTATTGCTGGGGCTGCAACCTCGAACACAGAACAAGGACTAGATGTTAGTGTGGAGACTTCTGCTCATGTTCCCTCACAGGCAGGCAAAACATGCTATCCCCTGAACTCACTCCCAGGCTTAAAAAGAAGTCAACAGGCAAAATGGCTGCTGCTTGTCTCCTGTTGTCGGTTTCATTTACACTGCTAGCTTTTCTGGTGCGTGGATAGCTCTCGCCGGATTCATTCAATGCCCCTCTCATGAACACCTGACACACCGAATCAAGACACAGTCCCCATGCCAAGTACATAACTGCAGAAAAGTTATTCCCTGACTTCATTCTGTTGTCAGTGCCAGCTGGCTGTAGGGCCCAGCCAGTCAAAAGCTGTAGGCTTAGCCTGCCTTACACAGAGACACCCGCCTGTAGGGTTGCCGTAATCAAATATGGGACAGCTTGGCCTCCGGACCTTTAAGAGAAGGTGCCGTTTTCCCCACCTGCCATTGCAGCAGCAGTGATGGGAGAGAAAACCGCAACTGCTCAGATTCTGCTGCCGCTATGTTACATAAAGTCAGATGGGCCAAGTTGTCCCATGTGGGAGCTGGCAGCTTTGCAAGTCTCAATTGAAAGGGAGAGAGGCAGGATCCCTGAGGCTCAGCCTCTTTTTAGGGACCCATTTCACCCTCTTTCTCCCCAGTCTAACCCCTTCCTCTCACCAAAGACGCCCATGGCAGAGAGAAAAGGTCGTCTTGAGATCTCTGCCACAGGAAGTCTGCCAGAAGGATTATGGGGTCGGAGTCTTTGGGGGAAGCGATGATACAGAAGAGCAAGGGGGCTGCATAAAGGGTGGGGAAGCCATGAGCCTTGTCTTTCTTGGGCCCAGCATTTCCCTCAAAGGTCTATAGGTCCCGTCCCCCCCGCACCTGCTGTCGGTTATGGCCATAAAGAGTCACTGCAAAACTCTACCACAGACCCACAGCTAGGCCTCACTAGACCCTTACCTGGAAGGGGCTCCTGTGCCTTTAACAGCCAAGTCATAAGGAGGCGGTTGACATGTCCTGTTCCCCCCCCCCCCAACACTGTGGCACTTCTTATATGTCTCTCTTGTATATGCTTCTCAGCACACGTCAGAGGAAGGGACACATTTTAGAGTTCCAGAGATAAGCCTCCCAACTTGACTTTGCTGACAGGCCTAGACTACCCACAATCCATCTTCTCCCCCTTGCGTACCCCAGTAGTTCCCATCCACATTCACTCTGGAGCAAAGGCATAAATCCTGTAAGGCAGTTGGGCCTTCCTGGTGACATGCCCAATTCTACTTCCTCGCTGCTTGGCCACTTAAGGCTTACATTCTTGATTCCACTGCATCTGCCCCTAGTTTACATCTGTGAAAAGCAAGCATATACATAGAACACTCCCTCCCTAACCTACACCCACATACCCCATCACAGACACCCAAATCACCATTGTGTACATGAGGGCCATTCATTTTTCCACTGAAGGGAAACGGTGTGCCACCGCTTTTACTTCAGTTTCCCTTTTTAACACTGTTAATGGCAGATGGGGAGAGCAGGATCCCAACGAAGGTAGCAAGGCAGACAGTGCTTACGGCTATGGCGTTGAATTAGCTTTGAGGTACAGATCTGGCTTGGGCCAAAAAAAAAGAGATGGGGTGAGCTCTCCATGGTCCTAAGAGGCCAGAGCCCTTTCCATTACCTTGAAGGAGCAGGATTGGGGCTGAGGGTTTTGCTGAGTGGGGTCCAGTCATTCCTCTTGGCACCTTTAGGCTCTTGCCTGACTCTTCCTGTTCAAACAAGTGCTGCTCCAATTCAGAGAGTCTTCACTCCCCCAGCTGCTGAGCTCCTGCTGGAACTGAAACGGGGTCCGAAAAAGCAGCCTGCACTACCCACCCATCTAGTGCTGCCTTCTCCTACTTTTCTTCTCTTTGAGAGGAGAGTTGAGTCCTTTTCCAGGACAGAGTTGTGTAGGGAAGCAGCAGGTGGGGCACTGAGCCAGTGACAGAATGCATTCTCCCCAAGCCTCAGCAGAAAAGTCCCTCATGGCTGAAGGGCCTAGATACAGCTTGACCGACATTATTTATCCGTATGGAACACCCCATTTTATAGTGAATGTCTAGAACTCCTGCTTAATCCCAAGCCTCAGCCTGCAAACCTGTAACAATGAAAAGGGCAGAAGGGGGTAAAATGAGCCAATATCCAAAGCCCTGGAAATGTGTTTTTTTAAAAACTGGTTTTGTGTTCTCCAGCATATGCAGAGGGTGGTATTTTGGTTGAAATCCCAAAGCTGCTTTCGAGAACTTGATTCCTGTAGAGTTCTCTAGCATTTCTGATTGAATAAAAGATGAATGAGAAATTGTGCGTGTGTGAATGAGTGTGCGAGTGTGCGTGAGTGTGCGTGAGAGAGAAACAAGTAAGAAAGAGGGAGGAAAGGAGAGGGAGGACTAGGACTGGTGAGGAATTTTTTTTCCCAAGGATACTGCTTATGTTCAGCTCAAACCAGTTCAAGAAACAAACCTCCATTTTCTTTATTTTGTGTTTTTTTTCAGACTGTTAAACAGAAAAATTTTAAAAAGAAGAAAATACAAAAAAAAAAATCCTGGTACATGAAATAAAGATTTTTTATATATATCACTTGGTCCTTGTTTATGTGGGTATGTTTGGTGGCTTGGAGCAATGGATTTTCTTTTTTCTTCATGGAGAAATCCCTGAGGAAAGACAGTGCAAACAGAAGTGAATGGAAGCCATTTTGTCTTGGCTGAAGACCTGAAAAACAGCAGTCCAGTTTTACTCTTAATCTAAAGAACCGAGGATGGAAGATGTAGAAGCAAGAAAAATGAAGAGTGTAGGGAGAATGGGGCATTACTGTTTTCTGTCTGAAGTAAACGTAATTCACTGGACTTCCTTGGTCTTCTCTGGCAGACAGGAGTGTTATGGATATTTTTAGATTTCCACTAAAATATCCAGTTTTCACAATATAGTGTTTGATTGTTTAGAGGAATATTGTTGTTAAAGCATCTGTTCTGCATGGGCCCTGAACCTGAGGTGGTCAGTATTGCCCCTTTATGTCCCTTTTCCATTAATGCCTCAGGAAAATTTCTACTGTTATTATATATAATTATTTTATAACCTTTTTCTTCTGCTTGCCCTCACTAGAACTGTGGTTTACTGAGGCTGAGAAAGAAGTTGAGAAGAGCCCACAAAATGAACCAAGCCTCCCAAATTTAAAATTGAATTGCTTCTGTTATATAACAGCTTCTACCCCACCTTATTTACAAATGTTTCAAGATAGCTCAGGTTAAGAGGACATAATAAATCACCTCAATACTAGTATTTTTAATAACAATGATGATAAAGCAGTAGTAGCACACAACATAAAATCAATAATCAAAACAGAGAGCCAGTTAAAAACAACAACAACTCACAAACCAGAGGAACAAATATATGTACAATGTTCAAATCAGATGCCATTCAAACTCTGAAAGAACATATTGTAGTACCAGGCACACCTGCTTAGAGATGTTATTCCATAATTTAGGTGCCACCATTGAGAATGCCCTCTGTCCAGAAGCCACCCACATACCCTAAGAAAGATGGGGCACCTGGAGGAAGGTCTCTAATGGAGAGTTTAATTCTAATTAGATACATGTGGAGAGAGGCAATCCTTCAGATATCCCATTTGACTAGATCATACTGACAGAGGTACACCCGAAAGAGATGCTCCTCAGATTCTATGCTAGTTATCAAGATCTCAGGGATCTAAGTTTTCATACCGATATGCCATAAAGTAACATACATTGGTAAAGTATACTACATTGTGGCATACATTGAGTTTATTTATTTATTTCCAGGAATATCTTAGCAGGGCAAATTGGGACCCCTGCCAGAGCAAATTTGGCCTTGCAGA